TGGTTGTTTTTAAAGTGCTTAACAAATAAAGTTGGATTGGATGTCTTTCAAGTTGCAGGTGAGCACAAAAACACACCAAAGAATAACAAGTAGCATGCATACAATACGCGTGTGATTGCTGCTGCACAGCAATCACACTAATTAGCTAAACCTGCCTGCTGAGGGCAGAGGTCACTTGGCAGGGAACAGCTTTACAGCGTGGACATCGAACTTTAAGACATGCAATCATCCTGACAAACAGAGGGATCATGTATGTGTTTGTTTATTATCTTTTCAACAGCCTAAGGAAAAAAGACATGAACTCAGCTGTCCACTCCTCCACGATGCCTCCATGCCCTCGTGCCCTCCTATCAAAACCTGTGAAATATGATGTGTGTTGTTACCACCATCTCCCCCTTCCTCCTCCTCCCTCTGTGCTTTTCCTCCTATGCCTGATATTCTCTGCACGCTTCCTTTGTTGGTTTCTGCTTTGCTTTGTGTGTGAGTGCGTGAGTAGGCACGGTGCATGTGTATCTGCTCCCATGCCTGTATAATGACGAGTGCTGGGCAGTAAAACAGTCATCTGTAAATCAAACAGAGTGCCAGGTGACTGTTGGTGCCACGCTCCTGATTTAAAGCCGCTACATGATTCAAACGACGTGTTGTTTAGTACGTCACACTGTGTTAGAAAGCCGCTTTCCCAGCAGTCGGGCTGGAGGTGGTGGTGTGTCCAGCTTTGTACATTTCCAAAATCAACAATCTGAAAGTCTACACCGGCTCTTTAAATTGGTTGGCCATGTGTACTTAGGTGCGAAGACGGGAGGCACGGTTTCAGCTGGTCTGCAAAGTATATTTAAAACATCTTGCATTGTGTTCACTACTTAACTGCTCACCAGGAACAGGTTTCAGTCGAGTGTTTGCATTTATCAGCATTTGATAGCTCCTCCAAAACAAAGGACTCACTGTCGCTCGCAGTTTTGTTCCACTCCCACATTCCTCTTCTTACTGTTCATCAAACAGTTTAGACTCATTGTTTTCCACCCCATTCCTCCTCCTCAACCACACAACACACCACGTATCCTGCTTCATTGTACAAGCTTTCCAACTGTGAAGAGATCATAATCAATTCTCTTGCTAAAATCCATTTTCAGGAATGCAAATTGTGGATTTCCATATCGACTGATTTATACCAAAATCTTGGATCAAATTCTTAAGTACAAGTAGCGATACCACACTCTAAAAAGACATGTATAAGTAAAATCACAAAGTATTGTAAAATAAATATACTTAACCCTTTCGCGGGCAAGGAACCATATATGGTAACTTCCTTTATGACAGTTTTTATTAGAATTCTATGGCATATTTTAGGATTTAGTGGCATCTAGAGGTGTAGTTGCAAATCACAACTCCCTGGCTTCATCCTCCCTTTCCAAACGCGAGGGAGAAGTTACGGTAGCTGCGAAATGTGCGAAAAACGTAAACCTATCTACAGCCAGTGTTTGGTTTGTTCCTTCCTTGAAACATGGCGGTTCAACATGGTGGCCTCCCCAGAGGGCAATCCGCTGTAGATAAAAATGTCTCATTCTAAGGTCATAAAAAAAACTCCTATATTCAGGTGATTATACATTAATGGAAACATGCTACATTTCTGCCAATGGAGCCTCCTCAATGTTACACGCTGGACCTTCATTCTGAAAATGAAGTACAACTGTTGGATATATGTAGTGGAGTAAAAAGTGCAAAAAAAAGATTTAGAACTATGAAATTGCACAAATAATCAAGTACAAATACATCAGAATTATTGACCGCTGCTTTTGGTATGGACGGATGTTTTTATTAAAAGGGGGCCCTGTTTGCAAAGGAGGAAGGGGATTTATTGTAGTTCTGAGCAGAGCAGATCAGAAAAGCAAGTCTCCCTCTCCTGTTAGGTGAGCAGTAAGACCAGTAGGTGTGTAACAGATCTCCAACGGAAAAAAACTCTATTATTACACAGGAGCTGCACCTTTTAATGTGCCGCTCCTGCTTATAACCCCACCTATCTATGTATTACACATCCTTTACCCCTCACTTTGTATTGAAAAGGTATGAAAGGATTGGCTCTCAGCCGCAGTTGGACAAAGTTATTTGTCTGAGACCTTAATTCCTGTCCCTCTCAGGCTCAACATGATCAATGAGGCACATGGAAACACATATTTTCTCATTAGCTGCTTTATTCAGACACATTAAAGCCTGACACTGGCCCGGAAATTCAGGTTTTACCTCTGTGAAACCAACAAATATCTGTTTAAATCTTCTCCACACCTGAGGCTAGTTGGCCCACCAGGTCCTGCACCAAAACCAGGCCAAGAAAAGTGGAGAATTTAGCCCAGCCTGACTCCGCTCATCAGTTCCTGTCAGGTGCTGTCAGATTTGGGAGTAAACGTCAAAACTCCAGCGTGGATGTCTGCTGAATAATTTTGTGAGTGTTTCTGGAGGGATCCAGGGAAGTGTACTGCCCTGCTGGAAGGGCTGAGTATGGAAACATGTTCTCTTTCTCTCACTGTGCTTCTTCGTTTTGGGAGGAGGATGGAGGCAATTACCAGCGCCAGCAGCTGAGAGAGGGCCAAGCCTCTGCACATCAATCAGCATTAATCCACTGCCACTGTGTGTGTGTGCATGAGGTGTGTGAAAGAGCACCTCCCAGTGGTGACTCTCTTTATAACACCCAGCGAGTTAAAATGCCATCACAACTACAATCTGCTCAAGGGTCTTAAATCTGAATGGGGGCCCTTTTTTCCCCCCTCTAAATTAATTTTCACCACCTAATTGCTGCGTTCATTACTAGGCTACAATAGTGTCAAAAAACCACTGTCCTGATTTAATTTCCATGGCTGAATGTGAAATGAGTCGGAAAAAGAGGCAAAGCACTGCGTGTGCTGCTTGTCATTTGGTTCATGTTGGACTGCAAAGCAGAGGCAATTTAGGTTAATGTGGAATGAGGAGGAGGGGAGAGGTTACAAAAAAGCAGGGGTAATTTGGTGTGGCAAATTGATGAGTCATCTTTTGTTCGGAGTCTTTGATTGACAAAAGAGCCGGCAGCATTAGCGTTAGAGGAACCGGAAATGGTCTCGGCATAAATTTGTCATCCTGTCATTCTTTTTTTTCTTTTTTTTTCACATCCCAACACACTTCTTCTCTCTCAAGCTTTGTGTCTGTTCCTCTCTTGTGTAGTCCTCCTGTGTTTAGGCTAATTACAGTTCTACTAAGCCTGAGTGTGTCAACTGTGACATTTCCACTGTTGGCGTAGCAACATTAGCGCTGCTCTCCTATTATGTCCGCATTAGGGACATCACACATTAGCCAAACTCTCCACTGGCTGCACTTTACAAAAAGGGAGGGGGGGGGGGGGGGGGTTGGGTGCAAAAAAACCTGATGCCAAATGCTTTCAAAATTTCATATTATCTTCTCTGAATTCTGCATTGGCACTTCATTTAATGTCCCTAAAATTGCACTGCCGAAAGGTGAGTGGGAACAATCATCCTCTACTGATTTGTTCGCTGCTCTTGGAGCGTGGTTACCCGAGCTCCATCACCTCATGCATACTAAACCGATGAAAAGCACAACAGCCAAATGTTTATGCTTTGTGTCTCTAAGGTAGAATGAGTTAAAATAAAAGCCTGTTTGTTGTGCGTTCTGTCTATGGAGGATTGGAGCGGAGCGAGGGTGCGTGCGCATCACATTCAGGTCGTACTTCAAGGCCAAACTGGAGTGAGATGAAAGGGAGAGACAGGGCACTCTGTCCTGTGACGAATGATTGTTAGATATAACTCAGCCCTCGAGGTAAACAAACGAGGCTGATTTTCCATGGGGTAAAAGGATTTGAGGGTCTGGATGTGTTATCCATGATGAGAGACAGCGAAGTGTCGCAACATCAAGGCCAGTGCTCTCAGAACTGTGAGGGAACACGGACATTTATGTCATGCTTGATGTGGCATTGATTATGCTTTATTATATTAACTGATCCTGAGAGCTGATATGACGCTGCAAAATTGCACCTTTCAACTCTGCACCTCCTGGACAGGGACATCCATTTCTCCTTGCTGTGGCACAGCCAGGCTCCTCATCCATAACCCAACTGTCAGTGCCCTGTGGAGAGGCGCACAGAGCTTTTAAAGGGAATGAGACGAACTGATGTGATTGGCCATGACTGGCGCCAGCCCGCACCGCACCACTACTACTGATAATTTATTCCAACTAATTCAACCTCTTTTACAGCTGCATGGTGCAACACATTCAGCGGCTGTTGTAAAATCTTGTATAGTAATGTAGAAGGATACACTAAGAATTACATCACTAATAATACAAACAGGGATTTGTATTGGATTTGATTCCTTGTGGACACTCTCAGCCTCAGTGTAGAAACAATACTAACATATGGCAGTTTTCTGACAGCCATGGCTTGTAGTATTAGACAATAGATAAAATTGGAAATGCAAAAAGCACCACTTTTTATTTGTTGGTTTTATATGTATAGGCAAATAGCCTGGGTAAGATATGTAGGTTATATATGCAAACATAATACCAAAATGTAATTATATTTTAATAGTTAAACCAATTGCATGCCTAAAAATGTGATTTTGTGCAGAATTATGTAAGTTACTGCTATTTATTTCACAATGCATATTGCTTTTCATCTTGAATATATAATGCAATGTTGCAATGGCTGGGATAACCTGCTATAGAAGGGTGCCTCGGGGCACAAATGATCAAACCACCTCCTACCCATCCCTTCCACTCACTCTTCCACTGCAATTGGTACAGTGTTTCTATGTTATCTGCCATGTGGTTATTTCATGAAACACAAATGAATTCAGCAATATGCAACATGTAAGAAAAAGACTGAAGCATTGGAACATTTTGACAGATGGGCTCAAGATTAGGTAAAAAATGAATAGCAGGATATGGTTCTTATGATGTCTTATCATGTGCTTTAATGACATATTGCCAAGGAACCTTTCATTAATTTAGAACAATCAGTTGACATGCAGTGCAGTTGCCCGTTTTGCCCGGTTGGTAATCCAGCCTTGGATGTCGCAGACGCCGCAGTTATGTTGCAAACCCTCTGTGCGCTGTGGAGCACCTTTTCATGGAGGACAAGGAATCTTCTCTTTCGCTTTCAACTGCACTCATAACTCATGGGACCTAAACAAGTTGGAGGAAATCATTTAATGTAATGTCACCCCATTTGGGGAAACGTGTATACAATATGAACATATCTCTTCAACATTTAACCCCACAGTCAGCAAATAGTTCAATAAATAAAAGAGTGATTTGAGTGAATACAGCCTGTTTTTTATTATTACTATTATCTAAGGAGTTGTATGAGCGATCAAAGATTAATTCATTCTGTGCCCAAATTGTTTGTTGACCCAAATCATCTCTGTTGCAAAGCTGCATTGTTTTGCCAGAAAGTGCAAAGCTCTCAGCGGGGACAGCACACTGTTCTTCACAAGGTCAATCACAAAACATACTCAGGTTTTGATTTTGAAGCATCGCTCCTTCAATAATGTCTCTGCCTGAATGCGATGGCAACAGCTCACAGGTTCCTCTGGAGCTTTAAAATATCAGCAGAGAGAGGAGTAATTTTGAGGTTAAGAGAGCTGATGGATCACTTTTCACTCTGAGGCCTAAAAGGACCAAATGTGTGTCATTCTGAGATTCTTTGGCCAGTTAGGACTGATTTCTAACTCCCACTAAACCTGCATCACTCTGAGGTTCCTTGGCAGATGCCCCATTTTACATTTTCTATTAATGACAGATGCACTCTAAAGGTTATATATATATATAT